ATTCTTGCAAATAATAACAACAAAATGCCTACAGCACATTTGGCATTATTATCACTTCTAAAAAATATGCCAATTTCAATTTTTTGCAGATACCTAAAAATACAGCTACTATAAAATGGTGGCAAAAACTGTACAGGTTATAAATCAATTTCTTCGAAAAATTTATGAAAATTACTTAAAAAATGCTAATCTTAAAACAAATCAGAAAACAGCTGTGAATTTTATTTGGATTCAACCTAAATTTCAAACTGTGAAAGAAGGAATCAAAGTAAGTTTAACTTAAGTAAAGCTACTAATAAATATATACCAAATTCAATTAATACTGAGGAGCTGAAAGTTTGAGAGCTAATTTTTTTAAAACTGCTCGTGTGATTTTTACAAAATATTGCGCTTTGGCGTAATATGAGTCGTAGAATTGAAATATCGAAAAAGATAGGTTTGTCATTTCAGAAAAGAAATCCGATTTTGTGTTAGAATATCTAAAAATCTAATGTGTATCCTAAGTCTCACTTTCGAAACGTGAAAAAAATATGTTAAATTTCGTCAAAGGGCCCAGTAGAACGGATCATATTAAATTTTTTTGGGGGGGGTCAAGATGTAGAAGCAGGTATTGAACTCATGAAAATTAAGCATTCTAAAATAACAAATATTATAACATATGTAAATGTCTTAATAATTATATAAAAAAATCTGTCAAATCTATGAAGAAAAATATGCTAGTAGTTTAAAGAACATGTGCTGATATCTTGCAGTGTTCAAGTGTTTAAGTTTACAATACATGGTTATGATGTTAAGAATATATTTGATCATTTTAAGTTATATAGCGTGTATTGTAAGAGGAGAGAAAGTCCATAGCTTTATGCTTTTTTTAAAAAGGGGAAGCGTGAAAATAAAACACAGTTGTCTTTAGATAATGATTTATAATTCTTACTTTATAATGTGTGTTTCCACCACATGATTATGATTTAAAATTAAATATAAGAATTCTGAATTTTATAAAAACACAGTTTATTTTCATAAGTAGTTATGTTTAAGGTGTTTTAAAGCAGATTTTAAAGAAATATAATATTGTAGAGCATTGTATAAAATTTTAACCTAACAATGCATTTCATTTTAATGTAAATTTATCTACGCTACAGCCAAGTATTTTAAATTCTTCCTGTTTGTATGTTTGATTAATTTGTGTGTATTTTCTGCGAATTAGTTGCTGTTAATAGGTGATTCATTATATAAAAGTAATATAAGGCAGTCACTATATAAATTCAATTTCAATAGCACAAAGAATAAACATTTGTATCTGAATTAAAATTAAGCTTAATTATATAAATAATACATAACTTTAATTTTTGATACATCAACGAAAATATGATAATAACATCAAAGAGCATTAAAAAAAAGGATTTTTAAAATTATTATACATAAAGAACAGAAAATTAATTTCGGCCAATAAAGTGTATCATCTTATCATTTTTATTAGAATTGAAAGTTTTAGTTTTAGCTAAATCCTATGTGTTTCACTAACAATCTGGGAACAAGACTGTCAGTAGTAGGAAACTAGTCTAATTTTAGATATCTGATGTGGACACCACATGATATCCTAGTACAGCCTCTTAAATTATACAAATTTTTTGCTGCGCTTCATTTAAACTTATTTCCTCGAATTTCATTAGAGATATATTTCCCATTCAATCAATTCAGTTCCCACTTCGCGGCAAGGCAAAAACACATCAAAACTCAAAACATCTTCATTAAAAATTGTAAAATACAGAAAACCCTAAAATAGCAAATAGAGTTAAAAACAGTTTACAATGAAATTTTAGTTTTGGTTACAATTAAAATTAGAGTTTCTACGTGAAAAGAAGCAACCCGTCCAACGGGCAGGAAGACCACATTTCGGTGCACAAAATTGAAAATTAACTTCCTGTCCCACTCGGCAAAAAGACACTGAAGTTGGTGCACCAACCGCCTTAATTCATTATTATACTAAGACCTTCAAATGTAAATTTACTAAAGGCATAAAAACCTTAACCGAAGCATAAGAACAACTTAACTAAACCACTTTTAAAGCAAAAAAAATGCACAATTTACTTACACATAAGAATAAAAATACTGAGCTCACCGCGCCAGGTAACAGGGTGAGATATATATATCCGTTTCGTAAGACCGATTGTAACAAAAAAGGAGGATGCAGAACTGCATGTTGTAACAGACCCATGTAATAAAAATTTCAGCTTTCTATGGCTATTTGTTTTTGAGTTATGTGAGATGCATACGTCAGGAAAAAAATCTCCTCTGAATCCATTTTAAATCCATTTTACCCTCTGTTTTGGATAAAAGAGTTTTTTTATCCCGTACAGATGTCACGCAAAAATAAGTAAATAAATAAATAAATAAAATAAATCGTTCAAATGGATTCGAGAGCAGTCCAAAGTGCATATTTTCGTTGAAATATGATACCCGAAATTTTTTCCGCGGTAACAGTACTTCCATCGTACAAGGAAGTATAGTAAAATGTTTTTGCTCGTAGATTAAATTTAGATATACGGCAAGAATTTTAATTTAGCGGATATATTAACCTGAGACCCGAGAAGTAATTCCTCGATATTTTTATCTAATTTTTTTTGTGTGTACTTAAAATGGAACTATTAAAAAGAAAAAAATACAAAAAGTACATTTTGAAAATTTTATTTATGTCAATTAAGTGGTACCCAAATGGGTATCTTGGAACTACATGCATATAATGTCATTATAATGATGTAAAGAGTTACATCAATGTATATAGTTTTTTTAAACAGTTGTTTGTTATGAAATTCAAAGAAGCAATTCCTGTTTTGTAAGCTACAAATAACATTTAATACATTTTACTCTTGCCCCCCCCCCCATTTGCTGGATAACGGCCCTCTGCGACGGGCTCGCCCATGCGACTGGCAGGAGCAATTGATGACCAGTGCTGCCTGGTGTCCTATCCAGGTGGAAGGGTATCCCCTGGAAGCGTAATGGCAAACCGCACATTGAGTTGAACAGTGTTAAACGAATGTCGCGTACTGCGCATGCCCAGAAAACAATTTGGCTTAATTACTATGTTGGCGCGATTTGAAAAGAAGATAAATACGGTATATGGTAGATGTACCGCCATCTGATTGTAAACAAATCTGGCGTTTAAATCTTCGTAGAGTATAATGTAAATGTAAATTAATTACTGTGTTAAAATATTTTTTTGCTGTACTGCTCAAACAACTAGAAAGCTGAAATTATTGCGAAGTAGTGTGAAGCAGTGTTTGCATTCAAAATGTAAAATATAATACCTATAAAATTCTGCACATTCCTTTGGAACTGTACAAATTTTTCGTTCAGAAAAAGACTGAATTTAGGATATATTAGTTGAAATTTATTCATTATACTTTTAACAATAAAAACAATCAGGATTTACCATACGTTCCATTCGTACATACATAAAGAAACACTGAGGAATATAACAAGTGCTTGCAAATAACACTGAAGAAATTTTACAATTCCTTAATGCTAGTTATTAATTCTTTGAATGAGAAAATAAAAGCGCGAATATACGCAACAAACTAAGCGAGATACTCCAGTTTACAATTACTGATTATAACATGTAAACAAATTACATTTAAATAACGAATTATTACGAACATATGTTAACAAATATTAAATGCAATGTTATTGACAAATTACAATGAAATATATATTAGAAAAATAAGCAAGTGCAATCGGTATAAAGTTAAAATAACTAATAAGCAAAGTTCCACAACATTACAGTTGTAAACATCATTCGAACACACTCGACAGCCATGGTGATCACGAATAAGCTAGCGTAGGGTTGCTTAGTCGCCAATATTTCTTCCCGCGCCAAAGGTACACCATCAAGCATGCGCAGTAAGCGAAATTTGCTTAACATTGTTCAACTCAATGTGCGGTCTGCCATTACGCCCCCTGGAAGGGTAATAGTGAAGGTTGAACCTCCACGAAGTGCCCAAAGGAGAAGTGGACCTGTAGTGTGCGAGCGCACGGAGCAAGGAATGCCCAAATCTTGTTTGTTTGTCCATCATATCAACACCTCCCATGTAAGTGTTATATGCCCTTACAAATAGCAGGTTGTATGACATCTACTCGCTGTCTTTGTTCTTTTGCCCACCTCTTACAGCTGCTTTCAGGTTTGATAGCAAATGTACTTGACAAAAGAAGACATTCATTTTCTTCAGATGTTAGAATGCCTTCATTTTCCAGATGTTCAGAATCAGTATCACTTTCTGGAATATTTTCGAAGTCTGCATAATCAATATCAGTAAGTTTCCCCATCACTTTGTTCAAGCAACACTTTGATTTCTTCATCTGTCAAATATTTTACTGAAAAAAATGAAAACAACATTTAGTATCATCGGTATACTCTGATTCCAAGGTACCCAAACGGGTACTTTCTAAGTGAAAAAAATCGAAAACAACAACAAAGTAATTTTATAAAAATGCATGTAGAATAAAGCTTATAGACTTCTTAGTTGAAAAAATGAGTAAAAACTTAATAATTATACTAATTAATACATATTAAAAAAATAAATCAACTTACCTCCAGTCGGTCGAGACGCCATTTTCTCTCATTTCTCGATTTCAAAGCTGTATAAAATAGTTTCACATCGTATGGTGCTGCGCTCTTTTAGCAGACAATAAAGATCAGTTTTTTCCCAATTGGGTACTCTGGGATTTAAGTCAAACAAACGTTTATTATTGGAGTAAATGCTAATGTACTGAAGTCCCCAATTGGGTACCAAGGTTCCCAAGAGGTAAAAGCTTTTACATTGTTGGTAATATTAAAATAAATATCTTAAAAACCTGTTGATAGATATATTTTAAAAATATTTAGTTTCTTTAAAAAAATAGATTTTATGACAGAAAAAAAAAACATCTATAATGATTGATTAAGAAAATAAGAAAATACATTGAAAACTGAGCGGGTTAAAAAAGGATAAATTTCTCTTTCTTACTTATTTCTAATTGTCTTTTTAAAAGTTTCTTTTTTCTTTCTTTGTAGTTTGTTTGAGCTGTTGAATATTCTGCAAGTACGTCTAGGAACTTTTGACATAAAGTGTTCAGCTACAAAATAAATAAATAAAATAAAATAAAATAAAATCAGAAGTAGTCGAAGAGAAATAATAGAGTTCAACAACAAAGTTGTAATGCTAAATAAAATACTTTTAAAAGATGCATTATATGTGCAAAACGTACTCGAAAAATGTATTGATAATTTAAAAAATTTTAACAGCATATAACTAAAATATGAAAAAAATGCATTCTAAATTGCATTTCAACAAGATCTGACCTAAAAACCATATTCAGCACCTTCTTTGTAACTCACTTTCACGTGAAGTGCAAAGAATGAGAGCAAAGTTTTCATAAATCGCATATTATTATTCATCTGATGGTCTTTGGATCATCTGATGGTCCAACTATCGCATACAGGTATTATAATTCATCTGATGGTCCAGCCATCGCCTATATTCATGTGATGGTCTTTGGATCATCTGATGGTCCAACTATCGAATATTATTATTCATCTGAAGGTCTTTGGATCATCTGGTGGTCCAGCCATCGCATATATTCATATGATGGTCTTTGGATCATCCTGATGGTCCAACTATTGCATACAGGTATTATTATTCATCTGATGGACTTTCGATCTTCTAATGGTCTAACTATTGCATGCTATTACAGAGGCTGTTCGCACATTTTTTAGACGATTTTGGTAAGCGGTAATAAAAAATCGTTTGCTGCAAAAGAAGTAATTGCAATTGTACTATGTTTTTAAAAGTCAAAATTATCGTCTGTGGCTGAACGTTTTGTTTTATTCAAAATGGCGATTTAACAAAGCAGTGGTCGAAGGCTACATTTACGCTCTTTCCGAAGAAAACATGCATACTCGTTATCCAAAAACGAGGTGAGAGTCATGGTTTTGTGATTCTAAAGCGTCGATAGTTATTCTCAACAAGAAGGGGAACCGTTAAATTGGAGCTCAAGTGGACAAAAAATTCCAAACAAGTATCGAAGGAAAAAACGGACATCTTCGACTATTGCAAAGGTACGTGTTTAATGTTAAAAAAATCCCTAGTCAAGGAAAGTTGCAAATCATTAAATGCTCGGTGTCCACTGTAACAAAATGATAAACGTTTAATTTAAATCTTAAGAAATCGAAAAACGCAATGTGCATCGTCTCTTCCAAAGCTAACGCTCAACGCAGGACACGCTGGCAGAATTCTATATGAGGAAACTTATCAAAGAAAAATGGAAAAAAAAATGTCACAATAGATGAAGCATGGGTATTTAAATGACTGTAACACACCACACACACAAAAAAAAAAAAAAAAAAAAAAAGCATTTATTATCAAAAAGGGAGAAAAAATTTTAAGTACATGGTTCAAAGAATCGAAGAAAGTTTTTCTAGGGAGTCATGATTGTGGCTGGTTTTCTATATGGCAGTTAAAAATAAAGAGAGTGAAAAAAAAAATGTCAAGATTAAGCTCAAATACTATAGAAACATATTTTAGCGCCAATTTTTCTGAATGAAAACCATTGCTTTACCCACAGTGCCATCAATCTATGAGATTCCATCAGGACAAAGCTAGCCATCACACATCAAAATCCACTGTAAATTTCTAAAAGAAATTGAAAAAAAAAAAAAAAAATGGTATCAAGACCCTTCACTGATATCCCTACTAATCTCCCGATGTGTCACCTATGGATTTTGTGTTTTCGGACTTTTAAAAACTGCATATCCAAACGTTGTTCCCAAAACTCTAACAGGACTCTAATCTGTTCGGGAGAATGGGATAGATAAAACACTTCTGCCACTTCAAAAGGCATTATTATTCTGGAAATTGCGGTGTCGAAAGATAGTTCAGAATAAGGGATGTCAATTAGAACATTTAAAACACAAGAATTTTATTAATTTAGTTTTGTGAATACAATATACATCGTCTAAAAAATGTCTGTATTCATCTGATCATCTGATGGTCCAACTATCGCATGTTATTATTCATCTGATGGCCTTTGGATTGATAATTTTAAGTCCATTTGGCTACTTGGTAGACAGTGCATTAATTATTGAATTTCATTAGTTTGGCTGACGATCAATTGTTATTTGGAGAATACAGTTAGGCAGTTGTAACAACATAATTTTTACTCGTATTTAACACAAATATTATAGGCATGGAAATACAAAATTCAAGTGTTTCTTAGAATCATCAGGCGCTTTATTTAGGGTATGAATTTCTGTATGTTAATAACTTAAGATTAGGGGAAAGGGATAAAGTTTGTAGATAGTTTCTCCTCATAATCTTAGTTTTTTTATTTTACTTTCACTTCCTTAACTTCCGTTTTCTTTTCAGTTTATCAAAGCTAACTGCTATTATTAAGGTCAATTATTATTATTATTATTATTATTATTATTATAGTAATGTTAAAATATTATTATTAATTATTATTATTAGCCCCAAAGGGGCTTTTAGTTTCGAAATGGGATAAACGGCGTATCACTTTATAAATTGTTGCTACCAAATATTATGGCCCTGTTAAGAAATTAAATAGTGAGGAATCTGAATGTATATGTATATTCCTCACATTGCAAAAAAACAATGGTATATAGAGGCATCAAATTTTGAACAATACAGTCCTCCACTCGCACTTGTGCATTTGGAAGCCAGGATTTCGAATTTCGAATTAGTTTTATTATTTTTTATTTCAGGTTTTTTAAAAATTGTTACTGAAATTTTGATTAGCAAACTCAGCGATTTGAAAGCGAACAGCGGCAACAGTGTTTGAAATACACTCATATCCATAAATTAAGGATAATTCGGAATCACGCGGAAATCGAACTCTAAAATAAATATATCACCTGTAAAATAACTACACACATCTTCAGAATGATATGCAAATTCAGAAGTAACCAGATGACACCGATGGTGCACAATGACGAGAGTGTAAGAGAGTGATATACGGAACGGCAAAGAAGTAAAATTGTTCGCAAGCGCTTACGCATTCAGTGCAAACCGAATAGTTATGACACAAAGGACGCATGTATGATTTTTACGTGTAGAATCCGGCCGTCTAGAATGTAGCGTACCCAAGGAAGATCAGACGAACTTGGAATTGTCAGAGTGTCATCTCCAGGCTTGGCACGATTCCAAGAGATGGTAATGTGAGTAGGAGTTACAGCACAGGTCGCCCCCGTACAAGCCGAATGAGATCGGTATTGGCAGTTACGCAAAAGAAACAGGCGGAGCACAGCCTCAAACCTGTCTCGTCAGCCTTTTCAGCCACGGTCGACAATTTCAAGGCAGACCGTGTACAGGCGCTTAGGGCAGATTGGTCTATATGCTCGTAGACCTGTCAGATGCGTCCACTATGAACTCACGTCGCTTGCGTTGCCTGGAGTAGAGGGCATGCTTGTGGACACCGCAAAAGTGGGCTTGTGTGATGTTCCGACGAGTCCAGGTTAGCTTGCAGTCTGATTCCGCCGAATTTTATATGGAGAGCTCAGGTACCCGTTACCACCAAGAAAATCATGACGACACCGTTAGGGGTGCCGGAGTGCTCGTTGGGATGGCATTATTCCAGAACTGACCTGGCATGTTCAATTGGAACCATACAAGCAAATACGGGACGTCATTCTGGAACAACATGTACGATGGGGGGCGCCTTGGGCGCGCAATTTGTGTCTATGGATACAACGCTCGTCCTCACTGTGCAAGATCTGCGAATGCCTTCATTTGGAGGATATCACCGTAGGGACTGGCCAGCATTCTCAGTATTTGATACCAGAGCACGTGTGGGACATGTCTGGCCGACCAGTTCCAGCCCGTGAACCTCCTCCACATGCTACCGGAACTTGGACAGCATTGCTTTTAAGTCGTGTAATATTCCCCAAGATCAGATCGATAATTTTATCTCATGCCTAGCGTTGCGGAGTGTATTGCATCTCTGGGAGACAACAAGTATTAACAAGCATACCAACCATGTAATATTGGTTTGTAATAGGTTTTTTTTTTTTGTAATTTGCCCAGGGAGAAAAATCGCCAGTTTTTTAATAATATCAACATATAGCATCTTTTGCTCTTACCTTTTGTTTAATCAATTAGCTTTACAAATAAGTCAAATTTGTTTTGCTTCTAACTCTTCGTTTACCTGATTTTGCATTATCCTTAATTTATGGACATGAGTGTAAAACATTTTTATCTTCAGCGCTGGAGACTGTTGCATTAAGAAAAATGTACGATATTTATTTATCTTTCAGTTTTAATTACCAAACTCGGCTCTATGAAAGCAATGCTGTGGCCGGAAATAAAGTACTTTTATCTTCCACCCGCCGACATGTTGCCTTTCAATAAAGCCTAGGCTACTTTCAAACTTAATCTTTAATGTTATTGGGTAATAAACTGAGCGATTTAAAAGCAACACACACATTTCGTACGAATATTGTTTTTCACTTTTTAATATGATTGATTTAAATTAACATGTATTAAAATTATGATAAGTCTAATTAGAAGTATCCAATACTTGTATGAACTTATACTAGCTGGACTCATTAAAATCATTAAATACTTTTCCCTTTCCGCGATAACTATTTTAGGCGGCTAGTTTTTAAAGAAATAATATAGCGAATATAAAAATATGTGTGGCAACATCTAACGCTCTAGCGGGAACTCTAAAGATACTGAATTTTCTGTGGGGAAGTGCGAAGAATATGATATTTAATAAATAAATTTACCGCATAAAAAGTTAATGAAAAAAAAAGACTTTTTTTTTTCTAGCTATCTTACTAAGTTAATAAAAAAATATCTGTGTGATAATTATTGTAATTTATTGTATAAATAAATAAATTGAGAAGAAGAAACTTTATTATATAGTAAGACTAGTGCGACATACCTAGAGTACTGGTTATCTAAATGGTAAAAAGTTCGTGTTTATAAATTTTATAAATTTTATCCAAGAAAGCAGACTGTATGAAATTTTATTGTAATAAATATTGGAAATAACAACATAAGATAGTATTACCACACATAATTTAAATTTTTTTTTAGATTCTACGATTTATTCCTATTTTTTCTTGGGCTACCCGAAATAATCTCAAACATTTTCACTTAGCAAATAATAGTGGCGCCATCTATTTCTAGTAACGTATAGTAGAATTGAATGGTAAATACATTTCTTATTAA